AGGTAATGGGTAGTAGACAGGTAGGCACCTTGTCAACATGCACATCATGCGCAGCCACACCTGGGATGTCAAACAACAGCCAATCATTCGAAATGCCGAAATCGAATAATGTAAACGCATATGACGATGTAGACTCGCTAAATGAGGATATGGAAGAAATTGGTTAAGTGTGAATACGCGATAAGTGCAAAATGTCTGAACGTTTTTTAAAAGGTACCACGCGATACAATTAGGCAAGTTTACCACAATTTGTATGAGCGACGTGTGCAAGTTGGGAGAAAATTATCAAGCACGCAGAACAAACCAAATAAAATGGAATGAATTTTATAGACATTAAAAGACCTAGTTTAAGTGTAAGTTGGTTTAGCTCAACTGCGGTGAAGAAGCGTCATGATTGCAACATCAGCCTCAGCATGGTTCACACGTACATACATGGTTGGCGGCATTCGGTTTCGGATTTGCCTGTCACTGTGGCCAGCCACAGGACGCCTGCGCCTACAGAGGGACCATGGGTGGCTTGCGCTGCACCACCCACAGCTCCATCCACACACTCCATATCCAGTGTAAACCCGAAGGAATAAGACCGGGAGGCATGTGGATGGGAGTCACGTTTCATCAACGGAGCCGGCCCACCCTTCTTCACCGACACGCTGTATTTGGGAGTCAACCGCACACAACGCAGTGGCTGGACCGTAGTCCGCTCCACACTGAGTGCATGAAACCACTCTTTGATCCTAATACTACCACAAGGACTGTGCACCCCGTCCACTCATGCAACGACCAGCTGTCTCCTGGAGCCGGTGTGGACGAGGTAGTGGGTAATAGACAGGCAGGCATTTTGTCAACATGCAAACCAAGCGCAGCCACACCAGGGATATCTTGCAACAGCCGATCACTTTAAACAACGCTATCAAATAAATCAAACTACGCATACTCATAAGGCAGCATATCTCTTTAATAAATGAGCATATGAGATAAATTGGTTGCCAAAATATCTCCTATAGTTTCAAAATGTCATGAAATTTATTTTAAGAAAATACCACAAACGGGAAAATGTTATCAAAGTTAACTACAATTAGCTTAAGCGACTTGTGCAAGTTAAAAGAAGATAGTTCGCGTAGGCAATAATGAGACACTATAGCAAAGCCACCACCTGAAGTAAAGAGACCCAGCATGCAAGCACGCGGTTAACAAATCAAATGCAGCCTACCTACAAACCCTGCGCCGGTTCTTCCTACATTGTCTGCAGGGTCTGTCGTCGCTTCGGTCTTGGCCCCGAGTGGCATCGCTCATGGCTCACTAGGCCTACCTGACTCATGCACTCGAGACCTCATTTGCTACAGCACCATACGCTCGATGTCGGTAGATTACAGCCCATCGGCGCCTGCTGCTTCCGCAATAGCCGCTTCTTTGCATGCATGAGGTTTTTGTCCCGCACCTCAGCAACTGCCTTCGTGATCAGATCGCGCCATGCAAGCTGATCAACCGCCTTCGATTCCCATGACCTGCAATCAAGATTAGAACTTGAGAAGCTTCGGTTTTCCTACATGCTGCTTCCCAGTACTCAGCTGACCATATACTAGTTGTTTCGGTATCCGCGTCGAGTCCTTACGGCTCACATGACCGAGCCACCTCAGGTGTCTCAGCAAAAGCTTGCAGTTCACTGTATACTTTCCATTTCGGGGCAACACTTCCGTCTCCGCAACCTCGTCGTACCAACCGATGCACAGAATCCGTCGCAAACACTGCTGATGGAACCGCTCGAGATATCGCACATCCCACCGGTACATTGTCCACGTTTCACTGCCGTATAGAAGAACGGACAGCACCATGGATTTGTATACCATCAGCTTCGTGCCAACGGTAAGCTGATGGTTGTTCCACACTCGGTACTCTAGCTTCCCGGATGCCGTCGCTATCTTCGAGACGCGGATACGAAGCTCACTGTGTAGCTGCTGGTCTTTCGACACCACACTTCCAAAGCAGCAGAAGTGGGTCGTTTCTAATACTTCAGCACCAACGCTGCTTTACGGCAATATTGAAGATTACACCTCAGGTGAAGGCTGAAATAAATAAATAAATTTGTATATTTACCGACAAACGGTACACGGCCCCATAAGTGGGAGCGACCATTTGTATAGTGAATACGTTTCATGATAGTAAAGAAAAGTTTATTGATATGATTTCGGATCATGATTTTTTCCTTGGGTTCTAGATTCAGGCAGTTTTGCTTGTGTTTATGCTGAGCCGAAATTGGGCCGCTGTCGAAGCCAGAGCACTAGTCATGTGCTGCAACTCATCCGCTCTGTGTGCAAACAACACAGTCATCAGCAAACAGCAACATACGGATGGTTGTCTCACAGACTAGGGTTCTCGCACCGAAACGACGGATGTTCAGCAACCCACGATCAATACGGTGCTCCACACAAACACCGTAAGCACACGCCGCATCAAACGCACAAGACATCATGGTATGAGGATATATATTAAACAGGACAGGAGCTAAGACGCAGCCTTGCTTCACACCGGAGATAACTGCAAAGTCATGCGAGGTCTGTCCACTCAGCTGCACCTTCGCCCGTATACCAATGTGCAGAGATTCAATTAAACTTACAAACTTACGCGGGCAACCAAACTAACCCAGCACCAGCCACAATACCTCGCGGTTCACCGTATCAATGCTTTGGTGAAATCAACAAAAAGCGAGTACAAAGGCTGGCGTCGTTCTCTGCACGTCTCCTGCAACTGACTAGCCGTAAAGCATCTCCATGGTGCTGCAACCAGAACGGAATCCACACTGTTTTTCTGCCACGTTCGGTTCTACAACGTGATTGAAGAGGTGCTTGAGCAGGATTCGAGCAATCACCTTGCCCGCACCACAGCTGGTTGATGCCACGATAATTCGTGCAACGTTGCTTGCTTCCTTTGCCCTTGTGCAGTGGTAGCACCATACATATATCCTCCAGTTTGAGACTGGTTACTACGCTTTTTCTCTGCGGCAATCGAACTGACCCTGTAATCTACTACATTTTATCCAGTACAGTTAGTTTTCGGACGAATCCGTACTCGGCCTCTTCACAGCCACCGGTTTTAGTTATTTTGTAGGTACTGGAAACATATTACCGGCATCTGTTAGTTTGGTATATTCAACTCACCACAACACAGGTTTTTTCTGGTTCCCTTTCGATGGCATTTCTTCTGTGTCAGTTATTGGATCTGCTTCAATACGTTCTGCGCAGTGTCCTATCCAGGAGGCGATTGGCAATTCATGAGGATATCTACGAAAATCGTTTTTTCCCATTCAGCTTTACTTGGCTTCCGTTGTAGAAAATTGACTGAGTAATGGGGAGGCGATTCAATAAGTTGCAACTCTCTACAACAGAAAGTAACGCTTCGGCACAAGCTTTTTTTCGGAATACCCTGTCGATTTATTTCAAACATATGGTACCGTCAGTTTTCTTGGACCTCAAAACCTTCGCGGTAATTGTCTAATTGTGAGACATTTTCCGGTGCGCAAATATTTATTCAATCGGTTCTTCAATACTTTATATATATGATGAAGTCGGAACGCCTAAAAGTCGTACGACATGCACATTTTTCTTTGCAAATCAAAAAAACTCTTATATAATTAGACAATAAAAGGAGTGTTATAACGAAACATCACGTGACTTTTGACCGGCTAGTTTATGATTGTTTTAATTGAAAAGCCGCAGATTCGGACGATATCTGCTAGTTACTTTCAGGATAACAAAAAGCCTAGGTGGCATTACGCTCTCTGATTTCCATAAACTAGCCTTGTCGGACCACATACGGAGACCTCATCTTGAGCCTCAGTAACAGAGATCCAAACTGCATATCAGATCGAGTTTTTGGATGTATGTATATTCTCGACTGTGCGAGTTACAGTCCAACACTTGGACTGATCATATCATATAACATGATCTCAATGTACACATGTTATTTCAGATTTTCCGAAAGAGTTCAAAGTCAGGTATATGGAGAGTTCTATTGGTATAAATAGTAAAAAGAAAGAGAGCAGGATGAAAGTGGTTATTGAAAAATGCACAATAAAATTAATGCCGCTAAACGTGAAACCGTATCGTCTTATTAGTAACAGACACTAAATTCCCTCTGCGTTAGTGGATTATGATACATCAGATTCCTTTAGTCGATCGTTTCGAGACCGAGTGCTTCTGGCGTCTTCTTTCCAATCCACCGATCACCCCTTCGATCCTTCGCAGGTGCGGGTAACCTCAAAATATCAGTTAGTCGCATTCAACTGCTGGTGACTGCATGTCAACGAAGTATCGGTACGGACTATCGACGTACTGCCGATATCCTTGCCTTGGTGGCCGAACATAGCTTAGAAAAGACGCAGCTAATCACATTTCACCGATAGACATCACCACCATTGGACGAAAACACTTCGGGCAGCATTTGTTGGCAGATGACAAGGTTAAATACCTCAAGCACACGCTGCCATGCGACCCGACTGTTACGGACGTTATGACACCGCTCCGTTAGTCTATGTATTACTGCTGCTTCCAACCATTTTGTCATCCATCTTAGAGTACTCATTTTTACCGAATTTATGAGCGTGTTACCATGCGTACTGGCATTTTTTTAACATCTTAGCTTCGTATGTGAAATGACCTCTCAGCATTTAAATTGTGCAACAATACTGTACCTATAACCATTGTTTTAGTTGTGTTCGATTTTGAATTTCAGCAGAAGACAATGCCGTAGACTGCAGGCTGTTACTGCATCTACTTATCACTCAGCTTCGGTTGTTGCCCTGTGAGCTTAATGCCACTACAGTCCCTGAATTTCTTTTGCGGATGCATTAATTCTCTTCTGTTTTCTTCATACCTTTTGGTTCAGTTTTCCTCTTTCCAAACTAGCGTGTCTATCAAGATCTTTCACTTTAGTCCAACTACTTGTAACTCCTCTGTCGATATCTGTCCTCACTGTTTCGACCTCACTGACAATCTTTCTTTACTTGCAGATCACAGATGTCTGCCTTAGATCGGAAACTGGAACTCGAGCGTAAAAAGGCCAAACTCGCTGCGCTAAGAGCACAAAAGCGAGACCTAGCTAAGGGTGACAGCGCACTGAATGGAGCGCAAAGCGCATTATCTTCATCTGACCACGTCACGAACAATTTCCATCTGGACCCAGATGAATTCCTCCGTACTTTAGGGATTTCGGTACCTGAGTCATCACCAAATGGCACAGCTGATCACCTGACCTCCTCAAAAAGTGCCTCAGACTTAGTGAATCAGTATGTCTTCATTCAACAACCTTTATTATTGTTCTAGTACACGGGCCGCTAGTCCATTTCGACGGCCAAAGCTCGGTATGGCTCCGATCAAGGAGATCAATGTGCCTCCCAAAGATACTATCTGCTACTCAAAGGAGGTCCAAACTAGGGAGCAAGTTGTTGCGCAAAATTGTGGGTCCAATTTTCTTTCAGTTTACTGTTTTAGTTCACGCTGTTTTGCACAGTAGTAAGCGTCTAATGCGTCCAGATGGGTATTCGATAACAGATTCTCCTCGGGATTTGCTAGGGTCCCCACGTTTCATTGCCAACTTGGAATGGGATGATGAATTTTCCACAGGCAAGTGTCTTTACATACTTATTTTCTTTTTTTCTTGCTGTTCGCATCGATTCCTTCAGTTATGCGCCCATTTTTCTAACTACCAAAATATTCACTCATCATCCCACTTGTAGGGATGTCGTTTGAGGAATCAGTTGTGGACGCCATGAATCGCATAACCGGCATGGAACCGATCAAACCCCCGACGCTTCTACAACACGAGGAACCCAAGCTCATAAAAGGTAGGCACATCTCTTATCCAAAAAGAGTCGTTTCATGTTGTGCCTTTATTACTATACTTATCATGTGCAGTGAGGGGCTCAATCCCTACTTCGTCTGATGGAGGTTTCCTCTGCCAGATTGTTTCAGTTCAAGCCACCGGTGTTAATTCAAACATTTAGTTCATGTTGAATTACCAGAACAGATGGTGTTCGCCTGGGTAATCCCATTTCCTTGATTTTACCTACCTTTTATCATACACAAGTTTTAGAGCAGAGACATACAGACGACCGACTATGGTGATTTTCCTTGACTTGAAAGCCGCTTTCCACTCTTTTGACCGCGCCAGCTTTTGGCACTGCCTGTCCAAGAAGGGGCGTACCGGCTAAATTCATTTCCATTATCCAGCCTCTACCCTGACATCTGAGGCCGTGTTGTGGTCCACGGGAAATTGTCTCCTGAGTCCCCCACGACAAGTGGGGTTGTCCAGCGTTGTCCTATATCTCGTTTCCTCTTCAACCTTGTGGTTGAAATAATCATGAGTGACTCCGCTTTTTCAGACTACTGAAGTGGAAGTTCAGCTAGGTAACCGACCGATAAACTTGGGATATACGTACGACGGTTCTTTTCGGGTCTGACGCAGTGGCTATACAAACACTACTGGGTAGACTGGTGCGTAGCGCTTCACGCTTCGGCATGCGCTTCGCACATTCAAATTGCAAAGTACTGCTGCGGTACTGGACCGGTCCTAGCTATCACCGAACAGCCACTGGAAGCGGTGAATCAGTTCACTTGGTACCTGTGTCACCTCTGGGGGTCACATCACTGAGGCAGTTACTTCGCGAATCAGCAAGGCCCGTGTGGCCTTCCAGCGATTCAATCATCTATGGAGACGGCGAGATATCAGCCTGTCAGTGAAAGGTAGGGTAAGACCGATCATACCTTATAGATCAGAGACCTGGCCAGTCCCCGGCGAAAATATTAAACGCTTGGCCGTGTTTGACAACCGGTGCTTGCGGAGTATCGCTCACGTCTGATGGGAATACCGGGTGAGTAATATTAAGGTCCGCCAGTTGATTTTTGGCAAGAAGCCTTCTGGTGCCTCACTCGAGTGTTTGCTGAATCTCAATCGCTCACGTTGGCTAGGCCATGTCCTCCGTATGCCCGTTGACTGGCTTATCGGCGTGCATTATACGCTATGACTGCAGCTTGTTGGGCGGAAGCTCCTTGTGGTCAGCCCATGACGTCGCATAGGGGCAGGAATAACTTGACTGTGAGACTTGGTCAGGGGGTGCGTGCCTTCTTCGTGCATGGGGGCCTTGGGACAGTCCACATCAATGGTTGGAGACCGTGTCAGACATGGCACAGTCACGCAGTCCGCGATGTTTCAGCATTCAGTTTCTTATATCTGGTTGTTACTTTTCATTCCATTCTGATTAATTTAATGCACTTCCTTCTTGCTTCATTTTCTTTACATTCGATTTGCCTTTAACCCTACTATCTTGACATTGTTATTTTTGCACCGCACCTCAGTGCTCGCACCATAGTTGTTCAATGAATTGAATTGAGTTGCGCGCTTTTTATCGCTCACCGTGTGGGTTATTGGGAAAGTAGAACAAGCAGTCTCAAGCCCACATGCGCGTCTGCATTCGCGAAACGGGACGGACATCCTCACACTCTCACGGCCAAGTCGCGTCTCTATGCAAGTGCGATCGATCAAACGCGGCGAAAACCACGAGGCAAGGGCTTAACGAGACTCGCGTCGAAACTAACGAGCGTATGACATGCGATCAATCGAGTGAGCCGTTAAAACACAGCTGCTTTGATTGTAGCATCAGAAACGTGCATAGCGAATTTTTGTGTTGATTTGTTGCGTCTTCTCTCTGACCCAGTTAGGACACACAAGCATGCAGCATGGGTATTGTGGCCTTGCTAGGGAAAACTGCTTGACCTGGGTTTTGCGAACGACCGTAAACACTTTTCGTTGGATACTCTTGTTGGCATATCCAAGAGCCGTCCTCAATGGCTTGTGCGTTTAGTCTGTTTGTTCCTCTTCCTCCAACTACAATCTCAACCGTGATGCATAACGAAGCAATGCATAATATTGTTTGTTTTGTCTCATCTTTTCATTTTTATAACTGTTTTCTTTTATTGTGGTGCAAAATCCAGGGTGTAATGATGGTGGTGATGATCGAATCCGGATAATCTAATCCTACGGTATCCCTTTTGTACCTCCGTAATGAATGTACTACTACTTGACGAGGATGAATTAGGGGTTTCTATCCCTTCATATATCATGGCAGACACATTAGTGGTGATGGACATGTCCCTGCTGAATTTAACCGACATATTGCATGAGTTGGAGCTTCCCTTATAAAATTACAGCACATCTGGTGTTAGAAGGGACTTTCTGTTTTCTCATAGTCCTTGTGTCTGGGGCCATAATGGGTCCGTTCTTCTCTATGGCCATGAAACTAATTCCTCCAATCGGAAGGTTCCAAACACCTTTAAACCTCTAACCGCTGTGTTACGGGAAGCCAAATTACAGCCAGCGTTCAAGCCGAGAGCCATGACCCAATATTGGGTCGATCTACATTTGGAGATCGAACTCAAGCAGAGGTCAAACGCGAATGTATGTGGGGTCAGTAACTCGTTGAACATTAAACATGGACTGTTTTGAGTTGTGTTAATTGATATTAATTAGCATATCCGATGTTGTTTGTATTTAGTAACTGACTTCAACCGCTATGCTCTCATGCAAAAGTGCCCTCGATCGTGGCTGGTCTTTTGTGTCCTCATTTCGTCGCGGGTTGAGCAGACGGGGTGACACAACACACTTATCTACAGCACGTTGCTAGTGTTGCGCTACTCCAAAGTGCCATCGACGGTTTAGTGCCTAGGCGTGTACTGATCGATACTCACTGGGTCAGTTCATCAGATCAGCAAACAAGAATGGTTAAAGTACATTGTTTGGGTACGCCCTGCGTTCAATACTTGCCGAGGAATTTTTCCTTGCCTTTCTGATTCAGGATAACGAGAAGTTCGGGGAGACGGTCGTCCATCTTCCAACGAGAAATGAAGTCTGGTTGTTGGTTTTTGGTAGCATCGGTCTTGCCTTTCATGGTGGTGTCTGCGTGAGCACCAAGGCGCTGCGCGTTAAATTGCAGGGTATGACTCGTGGCCTGCATCTTAGGGGCTCCTGACTTCTCTTCAGATCATCTGTTTAAGTTGAATACAGTGCAAATTTTATTTTGACGCAGGGCAGTGAGTGTCGCAAGCTGGTTATCCTACCGATGTGACTCTATCGTCGTACGACATCCAGTTGTTTGTGACCGGGTAGTGTTGACAGGTATAGTTATCTTGCTTTGCCTAGGACATTTTGGTCTTTTTCTCTCTTCATTAACGGGCTCCTGCTAGTGATGTTGCCGAAGTACTTGAGTGTTTCAAATCAGGTTTCCCTTACAAGCGTTCCTAGCGGATGGCACGATATTCCTCTCAGACGCAACCTTCTTGTAGAAAGTATGATGAGGTGATGTTCTGGGCTTACAGGGGACGTCGTAGCATGAATCACTTCCAGCCGTCACCACCGTTTGTCCGCCTACTCCACTTTGAGAACCGACATGCTCCTTCGCCGCGTCAGCCACTTTCACACCGTTGCAGCTAATGACCGTTAGACTTTCTGTTAGCTCTTACTATCACTGTTTCTGATTTAGCTTTTCTTTAAGCCTACCAAACAACTGCATGGCTGAACTGACAGTCGCATCAATCCCAGTCGGATCACCTTAGGCAACGATGCTAAGCACTGTTAGTCACCTTTCTCCTTCGTCATCGACAGCATAGCCACCACATTCATTGTTGTAAGCTTCACCTTAACATTACCATCATCCTGTTCACCATTCTCGCTCTTTTCGTTGTCGTCATCGTCGTAGATATTCCTCTTCCTGACTTCGGCAACCTGATACTCTAGGTCATTATGAGTAGTTTTTTACTATCAGTCTTAAGAACTTAGAACATCAAAGGGACTGTTCCCTGATGTTTACCCCTAAATCTTATCGAAGGCATATGTTTTGGTGCTCTCGGGGTGACATTGCCGCATGCACAGTCCACACACGACTGGTAATGGTCACCCGTTCGCGAAGTGTTGGCACAGTGTGCCACTATATTGCTGATACCTTTTTCTGTACTGCGTGATCACGAAATCGGCTTTAGTGATCAAATAAGGCTGTTGGTGAGTCTTTTGTCCTTCCCACTGCTGCACTTTTTTAATGGACCACATCTGTCACCCTCTGCGTCGTATTGGCGACCAGGGTTACCATAAATTGCACTGCTTTGTTTGTACCATTCATTTTTAACACTTTCGCTGTGTTCACCAAATAGGCGTCGCACAAACAAGTCTCCATGATCCTTGGTTAGACACTCTCATGCGTCTCTGTATCATTTAATAACCCTTGGTCTCAGACTACTCGGCTTTCGGATGAAGTTGGATCTCACAATTTTTATGTAACATCACACACTATTTCTTCGCTTGTGGACGTCGGACCAATACGTTGAGATTCGGCGCATTAGGATTTCCCCAACTACGTCTTGTGGGCGAATGAAAATGTACTCAGTGTCTCAGATAGGTTTCGAAACGAACACGAAACATTACAGAATGCAAATAATAATAATAATAATAATAATAATAATAATGTCATATTGCACATGGATTGTCTGATCGCGGTTGGACAGGGAAAATAAACGGAAAGGGGAGGGACAAAAAACTCGCGATACAAACGCTCTTAATGTCCGCGCTTCGCCATATCAACAAGTGTAGGATGACGAGGCATCGGGTTGTCGTTGTGTACTACGCTCCGTTACTGCGTTGACCTATTACACACTGATTTGGCGGACGTTGCTCTTATTACTATATCCACATATTTGTTTCGCCAGTACGCGGCAGTGATTCCCAGTGGGAACGATTTGCTATTACTCACCCATCGAACTGACCTTAAGTTTCACTGCCTGTGCGACACTTGCTTATCAG